TGGAAAGTTCAAGGACTTATTTAACATATTTTGGAATGTCCAAGGACTTATTTGTTCCAAAAAATTGTCCAAGGACTTATTTAACATGTTTTGGAATGTTCAAGGACTTATTTGTTCCAAAAAAAAGTTTAAGGACTTAATCATTCCAAACAAGAAAGTTCATTGGTTTTTATTGTACTTTTCCCTTAAATATAATATATTTTTAAAATTGATTTGATGTTTTGTGAATTTTAAACCCATCCCAATTCCCAACACATTCAACACCCCCTATAGGGGGTGCTATTAGCACCCCCCTATAAGAATCTATATATATATATGAAGTAATTTGTAAATAATATATAACAAATTAATATAATAAAAAAATATAAAAATCTAATAATATATATATATATATATAAATATATATATATATATATAATATAAGAATCTAAATATATATATATATATATATTAATTTGTAAATAATAAAATAATATATATTTTTCTAATGTAAATATATAAAATAAAATAAAATTAATAAAATATAAATATATGATTATTGAGTTGATGTTTATGAAAAAGTTGATGGGTTCAATTTCCAAGAAAATCAACACCCCCTATTAAGGGTGTCTTTAGCACTCTTCAAAATTATTTATTAATTTATTATAAGTCACAAAAGTTTAATTTCTTTAAAAACTCTTTATTACTAGTTTGACACCGATATAAATTATTTATCCAAACACTCAAAAAAATTTATTACCGATGTCATACTAAAATAAATTAATAACTTGTTTTTACAAGTATCCAAATAAACCACCCCCTAACATATCGGTATTTTGTCATTTCTAAAACCATGAGGGAGTAAGGTGCAAAGCTTAACCTTTAATTCCTTTTTCTTGCACGCAGTTTACTGTTTACCTCTGAAGAGTCTCCCCAACCCAACTATACGACCAGCACGAAGAACCCACCGTAACCCACTGATTCGGAGCCGGCAAAATCGACGATTCACACAAAGAGTTCGCCAATGGTTTGTTAAAATATCTTGTTTTTCTTACGAATTTCATAGAACACATAATCTGCATCATTACATTGTGTCTAAAAAAAAGCTTCACAAATTGTGTTTGTGTGTTCTTTCGACAGTCAGTTACGCTTCACACTAATCTCGGCGACATCAAGTGCGAAATCGCTTGTGATGAAGTACCTAAAGCATCAGAGGTTAGTTATATGATAGACCTACGCTTCGATTCGATTATTTATGACCAATTTGATCTGGTTCGGATGCGATTTTTATATGAATTTTGTTGCAAGTTCAGCACCAATACGGTTGTATTTTTTCTAGTATCATTTTACTTCAAGATCTTCTATACTAAGTCATTCCTGGAGGACTTTTCTTCAAAACCGTAGTTCTTCAACCCTCAATGACAATTAACTTTTAGGGTTTTAGAATCAAACATGCTGTATTCATATATTTAAACTTAAGTCCTTGGTGATATTTAATGACAGCTAATGCCTTTTGATATAAACTTAGGACGATTAAACCCTCTAAAGGATTAAATGACACAACTTTAACCTTAAAAAAGACATTCCTTCCTCACATATTGTATATCAAAATTGCTGGGTGTTACATGTAAGATGGTGCCAGTGACAGTAATCAGTGAATAAATGGTAGCTGTTATGACTTGATATGATCTAAGGTAGTGACTAGTGAGCAAGCATTACATCTTGGGTGCAAGGGTTAAAGAAATCAAATACAGAAATACAAACTTGAGGTACCTGTGCCATGAAATTGCTTCTTTGCTTATTCCTTAAGCCGTTTGGTAAACTATAACACAAGCATCAATTCAACCAGGATGCATGTAAAAAAGTATTTATTTATGCATTATAATCTTATCAGTTGTATACATGTCCATGGAATCATAATTCCCTATGAGTGCTTGATATTGGAAATCTTAACTCCAATTGCGCCAGTGAATCTTAATCTAGAATGTATCTATTTGACTGGAAAACTTTCAACTGTAATACTACTTGCAATTGATTTTGATCATGACATGCATCCTTGTTTATTGAATTCTAATACTTGATGGCAACAGAATTTTCTTGCATTATGTGCAAGTGGATACTATGATGGCACCATTTTCCACAGAAACATAAAGGGATTTATGATCCAAGGTGGAGATCCTACAGGGACTGGCAAAGGAGGGACAAGTATTTGGGGCAAAAAGTTCAATGACGAGATACGTGAATCCCTCAAGGTATTTTGAATGTTGGGTGTGTTAATCTTTTCGACTAAGATATGCTCATTTTTCATCAATTGGGTTGCCATTGATTTATATCACTATCCCTTGGTATGGATATTTTTCCCAATAACACTTTAAAAGGTTGATTAGTAAGTTACGTCAATAAAGTAAAGGGATTGTGATATGGTCTGTTATGTTCATATATTTATATGCTTAATATTTGAAGCGTGTAACCTCTGCAAACATATGCCCATAACTAGCATCATATATTGCGCTATTAGTTTGAGTCATGCAACAAGCACTTAACCTAAGCAGTTTGTGTATGCTGACGAGCTACTCATGGTCTGCTTCGGCTGAGTTTGAGTTGTCAGAATGATATATTGATGATTTTTCTGACTTGGCTTGAACTAGTAAATATTATAAATAAATGTTTATCCACTTGGAAGTAAGTCTCACTAATAAGAGATTGCTATCTGATTTATATATGTTGGTATATTTAATTATTTATGCTTTCAGTACTTGAAATGTGTAAGCTCTGTAAACACTCTAGTATCAAATAATGCACTATTATTTTGTGATCCATGTTAACTACACTTCAGTGGAGCCTGATTGAATACGCTACACATGGTCTATTTGGCCCAAATTTGATTTGTGAGAGTGATGCTTTAACGTTTATCTGACTTGACTTGAAATAATGAAGATCATTAAATAATTGCAAGATCTTTGTTGTTATATAGCATGTTGAGTCTTGTGTCCGTGATGCTTACTTTTTGTTTTATTGATGATTGTGTTTGGGTCAGCACAATGCAAGAGGAATGCTATCAATGGCTAATAGTGGGCCCAACACGAATGGGAGCCAGTTCTTCATCACTTATGCTAAGCAACCACATCTGAATGGATTATATACCATCTTCGGCAAAGTAATTCATGGGTTTGAAGTTCTTGATCTCATGGAAAAGGTAAATACTTATGGTATTTATGATGATACTCAGATAAAGCAAACGAATGTTAGAAATCTGATTGGGGTTTGTTCGTGCAGACTCCAACAGGAGCTGGGGATCGGCCATTGGCAGAGATTAGGATTAACCGTATTACAATCCATGCCAACCCGCTTGCTGGCTAGTCTACTCTTGAGATTTAATCTCCTAACTTGCAAATTCAAAATTATGGTCTACCAATCGGCATGTTTGGAATGGTAAGAGATCCATGACTAGAAATCAGCATGTTTGCAAATACATGAATACATAGTTTTATGTTGCATTTGGTATCCATATTTGGTTTAATTTGCAAATTCATGTGGCATTCAATTTTAACCGCCCATATCTGTCTCAAGATGGTGAGCGAGATGATAGTATGATACCCTACAAAAATCGGTAGTGTTGTTATCATTGTTTTGTTTGGTACAATGAATGAAACATAACTGAAACATAAAAACAAATGATCGAGGTAGTGTTTCTGTCTTCCTTCTACAGTTGATTTGCTACATAAACCGATTTTTCCCTATATATCTTGTGCACACGTGTTTGATCTCTTACTGAACCACCATATACATCAATGGCTTCCCCTGCATTTTGAGGGTTTTGCTAATCGGAGCAGAGCTCTGCTTGGCCTATTCTATGGAGGGGGAGTAACCGGTTTCAAGTAAGAATAATAACTAGTTTAATATTAATTTTATTATAAAAGCATAAATTATTATTACATAACTTCTAACAACAAAAGCATATTCAAATAAAATGACATGCATCCAGGGCAAATGCAGGGTTTGCATTTGTATTGATCTTGCACATTGTGTTGGGATCAAATCTTGGTAAGATTACATCGAAGATGAATGATTCTTGAACTATTTGAAAGAAGTTGCGTGTCACGTGCTGGTGGTCATGATCATGGGCTAATCCACGTACTGCTGCTAACGCTATAAGTTGGAGGCAATACACGCTTGCAACAACTCTTGTCTGACGTAGGATTCGATTGAACTGGTCTGAAATGAAGTGTTATTCACTTGGTTTTAAATTTGCGTTCAACTCATGTGCCAAAACACAGCAATGTTAGGGAGAGACATGTTCGTTTTTGAAGGAAATCATTGCATTTTGGATTCATGGAGGGAGGTATAGTGAAATCCCTTGAAAATAAAAAATTGAGGAACACTCTGGTAACCATTTATCTGGAGTGTATGTACATATGCATATAAATAATTGAAGTTGTTTTTTGTTTTTGTTTTTATACATGTGTGTATGTTATGCAAGTGTATATACCGGACAAATTGTTTACAAATTACTTGTATATAAGTGTACATATTATACAGATGAACAGTTACCAGGGTGTTTCATTAAAAAAATTTGGTACATTTGGGTTGTATGTATAATCGGCGAGGCATTTTGCTCAAGGATCGGATTTAAAGCTGTTTCAAAAGTAGTGATCCAAACGCTTTTAATATATGGGCTTTTTCTTATATATGCATTTTGTGTACATCTTTTAACATTAATTAATTGTTGAAATGTTATAAATGAAACATTTGCCAAATTATGAAACACAAAAAACTCCAACTCAAAATCAGAAAACTTTGTATTACAGTTAAGACGAGGACGGTAGCACCAACACTAATTATGGTCATTAAAAGTTAACCCAATTAATGTGCAAGTAAACCAAACAACAACTAAAATCAAGGCTTATATATGGGGTTGTGAAAACAACTCTACTTCCAGCAAAAAAAAAAAATGGGTACTGGCCAATGTTTTCACCGTTGATTCATCTGCGACAATTTGGTCGTGAAATTTTCCATCAGTGAAACCTATGCGTTTAGTCGTGAACGAGAGAAATTTGTAAAGAGAATGTGTCATTTTTTCTATTTTACCATATTCAAATCACATATAAGTATCCTGTTTATATTGTTTCCTATATATATAGACTTGGGATCACGTGAGACCAGCTTGTTTTCGTGAGACCCGTGAGACCAACTTTTTACACTTGAAACTTCACAGCAAAATGTTGTGAAGGTAACCTTCACAGTGTTTTTGCTGTGAAGTTTCAAGTGTAAAAATGTAGTCTCACGAAAAGATATATATATATATATATATATATATATATATATATAAAAT